AATGTCACTTTGAGAGCCTCTGGGAATCTGATCCCCTTTATGCTTCTGTGGGTTTGAGCAAATATGAGTGTGACACTGTGGAATGAAGCCTGTGTGCCTGAGGGTCTCATTTATGTGTTCACAGGGGCGACTCCCCAGGAGGGGTGCACCTGGGGCAAGTGCATGAGGCTACTTCCATGCATCTGAGCGTGCGTGGGCCTGAGCGAATCTGAGGAACCATGTTTCTGTGCACCTGGGCTCATGTCCCTAAGCACATGTGCATACCTGAGCCTCCACACATCTCAGCAAGTGAGTTGCCCTAATGGGTCTGAACGGCTGTGGGTGCTCACCTGATGTGTGCACAGCCTAAGGGTCTAAAGATGCACGTGTGCCCTTCACGTGCCACTGCATGGGTACCACTGAGCACACTGTGCACCCGGCACTGTGAGTACCTGTGTGGGCCAATGCAGGCCTGAGTGTGTGTGTGTGTGGATCCTGGACTCAGCACACACAGCCTGCCTCTGAGAACATGCCCACATGCACCCCTTGGAACCAAATCTAGACATCAGCGCACATGTGCACCTCTGTGAGGGAATGAACACACATGCTGGTGCATGAGCATCTCTCTGCAGATATCTACATACACCTTGGTGAGGACACATGGATACAGCTGAAGAACACACGTGCTCTGTGCTCTTAAGCATGGGTGTGCACTTCTTCATGCGTGTCCATGTACTTCAGTGGGTACAAGCACGTGTGTACGTACCTGACCTGAACACACACACAGATCTCTGTGGTTTTGAAATGTGAGCATCTGTAAGTCTGAACACATGTGTGGAATCCTATGATCCCTGCATATATGTGAGTTACACAGACGGGTCTGTCCACCATGTGCTGTGCGAGCTGGGTAATTCCGTGAGTCCCAGGACATGGTGCAAAGCATGAGCCTCAATGGGTCTGAACACAAGTGAGCACACGCTAATACCTAAACATGTGTGTGCCCAAGTGTCTGAAACACGTGAGTGAGTCTACATCTCTGCGCACGCGTGTGTGATTTGGAACATTTGGCATATGCACTGATAGATGTGAGCATGGCTGGGCACGATGGCACTTGCCTGTAATCCCAACTATGGAAGGCTGAAGCAGGAGGGTTGCAAGTTCAAGGTCAGCCTCAGCAAACTTAATGAGGCCTTGTCTCAAAATGAAAAATAAAAAGGATTGAAGATGCAGCTCATGGGTAGAACACCTGGGCTCGAACCCTGGTACCCCCTCACACACACATGCACACAAAATAGATGTGAGAGCACATAGCTCTGAGCACTCATAAGGACCCTGGTGGGTTTAAGACATGTCACATGTGCCAGCACCTTTGTGCTCTGTGCACACGTGTAAGTGTAAACCTCTGGGGCCAAACAGGTGAGCACCTGGGTGGAGGTGCTCTTAATCATGGGTGTGTACTTCTGCATGTGTGTCCATGTACTTCAGTGGGTACAAGCACGTGTGTACGGACCTGACCTGAACACGCACACAGATCTCTGTGGTTTTGAAATGTGGGCATCTGTAAGTCTGAACATGTGTGTGGAATCCTATGATCCCTGCATACATGTGAGTTACACAGATGGCATTCTGACCCTGCACACCTTGGTGTGTTCCATGAGGCAGTGCATGTGTGCCTGGGTTGTGTGTCTGTGGGTCTCAACAGGCGTGTGTCAGCATGTCGGGCCTGCAGCGGTCCGAGTGTGCACATGCTCTTTGGCTTTAAGCATGTGTACGCCTCCGCGGGTCTGAGCATGAATAGCAGGCGCTTTTCTAGCTAAAACCCTGTGTGTTCAGGGCCGGGGCTGGGGCTCAGTGGCACAGCCATGTGAGGCACTGGGTTTGATCCTCAGCACCACATAAAAATAAATATACAAAATAAAGATATTGTGTCCATCTATAACGAAAAATGTTTTAAAAACACCTGTGTGTGGGGCTGGGACTGTGGCTCAGCGTTAGAGCGCTCGCCTAGCGAGGGCGGGACCCGAGTTCGATCCTCAGCACCACATAAAAAAACAGATAAATAAAGGCATTGTGTTGTGTCCATCTACACCTAAAAAATAAATATTAAAACAAAACACCTGTGTGTGTGTGTATGGAAGTGGGAATGTGTAAGCGTGCTGCTGGGCCTGTTGATGTGTGTGACATGTGTGTGCATGCCTCTGGTCACATCACATGTGTGTGCACATGGATGTGTGCTTCCATGGGTGTAAGCCTGTGTGTGTTCTTCCTGTAAGTTGGATTCCTACAGGGGCCAGACCTGGAATACAAGGTGGGGGCCAGGCCACCTGAGACGACAGGGGTGGTGTGACACATGGCCAACTTTAGGTACATGTCCCCCAAGTACACCCTCATTCAAGATAATTCACTAAGCAGTGGAGGAGGTACGGGGCCTGGGGACTATACAGGGCCCCAAGTTAGTGAAAAGGGTGGAGAGGTGAGCAGGCTGAGCCGCAAGCTCCCAGGCCCGCTGTACCCAGGGATGAGGCTCTGGAAGGTGGGAGGGGGTTGGGTCCTGGACAGCCACTGTCTCCAGCCAGGCTGTCTTGACCTTCAACACTGACCTTCAACACAGGGGCTTGGCCTTCTGCTCCAGAAAAGCCTCCTTCTCTGGGGCTCTGGAGAAGCTCTGGCTGAAGAGGCTAGTGGTGTAGGGGTTGGAGGGAGACCTACACCAGCCTGGGATGGGAGACCCTGGAGTCCATCTTGGTCCCTGCCTGGCTTCCCATCAGGAAGGACCACATTTAAGCCTTGGAGTGGCGAGTGCACTTGCACATGCTAGAGATCCCAGTCTGGGGAAGAGCCAGTGGACTTCCTCTGGGCTCTCCGCCGCACTCTGCCTCCCTCTTGGCTATTTCTGAAGCTGGATGCTGGGCTGGCCCCCAGCCCCTCCTCATCCCTGGCTTCCAGCCCTCGCCCATCCACAACCTCCCCCCATACTGTGGCTCTTTTCCCAAGAGGACAACCCAGTGGTCAGTGACCTCACAGAGCCTTATCGGGGGACCCAGAGCTGCCAACTTCAACTCCTCCTCACTCCCTTGTCTTAACAGAGCCTGAAGGATCTCGGCCACCAGTGCCCACACTGGGATTCACGCCCAGCCCTTGGCTGGAGTCTGGGATGGAGGATAGAGCCCGCCCAGAAGGTAGCCCTGGGGCAGCACAGTGTGCATTCCTCGTACTTGTGGGGTGACTGTCTGGCCCAAGACAGCCTGTGCAGGGTCCAAGGGGAGCGGAGACTCCTTCTGTCACCAGGAGCTTCCATCCCAGAGTATGGGGCCAGGCAGTGTCTCGTGACCCACACAGTCCCCTGTCCCTAGAACCTCATCCCAGGCTCTCACGGTCCATTCATCACAGCCTCTTACAGCAAGCCTGGATCAGCCAATGGAGCCCCAGACAGTACTCAGAGCTTAGAGGGCCAAGCAGGACAAGGGGGAGTGCTGTGTGCCACGCTGCCATAGGCCCAAAGCCTCCAGAACAATGGTAGGGTTGGAGCATGCATCCCTGGGCTGAGACCCTCAGAGGGACAGAGGGGCAGCCCCAGCAGAGACCTGCCACAGTGGGTGGCATCAGTTCCAGCAAGCACAGCCCTGGGCTGTGGACAGGGAGCCTTGCAGCCCAGCAGCCAGCATCTCCTCCAAGAGCCCCTGGGCCCAGGACCATGTACGTCCCTCTCAGCTCAGCCCACTACTGGGCACAGAGGGCAATCAGGGCTTCAGCTTCTGGGTCTGGGGTCTCTTGTCCTTGGTCTCTGAACCTCGGCCTCTGCCCTAAGGCTCCACACTCCATGCTTTGATTCTGTTCCCTTCTTGCTCAACCCACACTCCATCCAGAGTGGCAGCCCACACTCAGCTCGAATGTCTCTTCTGGTGCTGATAGGATCCCAGGCCCCCGCCCCAGGCCAGATTCACAGAATGTGCCAGGATATGCTGCCCACCTCCTGACCACAACCCTTCCCTGTCTCTGTGCACACATGCCCCAGCCTCCAGCCTGCTGGTACCCACAGCCCAGGGCGCCACCATTGCAAGGTAACAGGGAGAAGTCTCCAAAAAGCCAAGCAAGAGATGTGGGTGGCCCCTCCACTCCCACAGGCTCATCTGGGCTACACTAAGATCCATGCTCCCCACTAGTCACATCCAGTACTTTCTGCCTTCCCACAGCCAGCCTTGAGCATCCCTTCACCCCAGCTCCTCTTAGCCACTGCCAACCTTCTCAGATGAGCAGCCACGCATCCACCATGCCATCTCACTCCCACCCTCAACTGCACACAAGGCCACCCGCCCTGCAGGGCTGCTCTCTGCAGCTGCAACCTTGGCTCCAGCCAGCAGCATCAAGCTGAGGCCTGGAGGGCTCCCTGTGCCCCCACCCCCCAGAGACTTCCCTCCCAGCCTGCTCTCCTACAGCTGCTCCCCCACCAAATCTCCCCAGGGAACCCCAAGTCTGGTCCAGGGAGCACCTCCCACCCAGCTTGTGGCCAGGCCTTGGCCTGGCATCCCTGGCAGTCTCCACCCTAGGCACCCTCTGGACCAGAACAACAGATATGTCCCGAGACTGGGCATGAGGAGGATTCAAGACCCAGCAGAGGCTTCCCTCTGAATGACCAAGAGAGTGCTGGGCCTTGGGGCTGCTGGGAGTTGTAGTTCTGAACCTGAGAGCTGATGGGAGTTGTAGTGTCGTCCCCCCCAGGACTCCTAGAGCTGCAGTTCTCATCTAAGGAAACCGCTCCCTCATTCCCCTCCAGCTCCCCTTTGCCCTCAACCCCAGGACTCTACGCTAAGAGCCTCACTATCTACAAGGGATGGGACACCAACAGGCACCTTGCCAGAGGGCATCTAAGGCACCTGGGGGCTATAAGGTGGGGAGGGGGAGTATGGAGAGAGCTAAGGCCTGCAGCAGGTCCTGGGCTGGGGTCAAGTAACAGAAACTGTCGCCCACCTCCCAGCAGCGTCGCAGGGGCCCGGGGCAGGGGAGGGGGGAAAGGCACTCACCAGTACTGGGCTCACACTCCTCCAGATCCTCATCATCGCTCGGACACTCAGCCGAGGCCACCAGGAGGTCATCTGTGTTCTGAGGGGCGAGAGGAGGGGTGGGGAAGAGAGGGTCCAGGTGAGTCAGCAGACCCCACAGTCACCTCTTGAGGTGTGTGGCACCACAGGAGCTGGGCCCTGGCTAAGGCCCAGTACTTCCATCACTTGCTGGTGACCTTGGCCCTGCATTTCCTCCTGTGCAAAGGGACACCAGACAGTACCAGCCCTGGAGCCCCTGCAGCTCCCAAGGATCAGAAGCACATGCTGTGCTTTTTATTTCTAGGAAGCGAGGCAATACGATGCCAGATCTGGGGCTATAGGATGGGCAGCAAGGGATCCAGGACACCTTGGGGTAGGGACAGGTGGGGCAGGAGGCAAGGCACAGGGCCCTCTGGAAGTTGCATGAGCAGAGAGGGACAGGGCCTGGAGGGGTTTCCTGGCTCCAGCTTCACCCCCACCCCATCACCCCTCATCTGTCTCCCAGCCCCCTTTCCAGAGAGAACCGGGCTGCACACAATAATTAGGGCTATGGTTGCCATGACAACAGGAGTCGACTTTGTCAGCATTTTCTCTCCTCCTGATTGCAAAGAAAGAGAATCCCTGAGATGAGTGTGCGTGAGGGGGAGGGGGCACTTGGGGTGTTAGGGAAGAGACCCAGGGAGGGAACCCCAATCTAGGCAGGACGAGAGCCCAAGTGGCTGAGGACGCAGAGAAGATCAGGGGGAAGGCCAAAGATGGGAGGGGGAGAGGGTCACACCTTGCCTGGTCCCCAGACCCTCATCTTCCCTTCTACGTCCTTGTCCCCAGGCTCCAGCTGCTGTCATGGGGGCTTCTCCATCACCGCATCACCCCTGGGGTCGCCACCTTCCATAGATGGTCTGCCCGCCTCTTGCACTGAGACCAGATGGCCCTTCAGAGATCTGGAGGGCACTGGGGTTGTGGTTGCCCAGCCTTGGGTGGAGCTCAGTCTTCCAGGCCTCCCCACTCCTAGAAGCAGGGCCCTGGGGAACTGAGTCCCTTTAGATCTCTGGGTGGCACAGGAGAGAGGAAGGGACACATGTTTGTCTCTCCCACCTGGCTTTCTCCAGCTAGCTGGGTCCCAGCTCTCTGCAGCACAGGCTGGCAGGGAGGGACCTTGGAGCACTGAGCTCAGCGCTCAGAGTTAGAGGCTAAGACAGACTGGTGAAGTTAGGGACATGTCCTCATGGCCACCCCCAGATCCTCCTAGCGGACAGAGGTCCCTCCAGACCTGGAAACCCAGTAGCCCAGGCAGTGAGACAGGGTGACGGGAGGTAGAAGCACCATGGGGACAGGGTGGCTAAGCAAGACCAGCGCGCCAGATGTGAGCCCTTGTCAGCTCAACCAACAATCAGCAGGACACTCCACGGGCCCCGGGGCTGCCTCTGTAACCCCCCAGGCTTTCTCAGCTTTGACAGTCAGGAAAGCCAGGACCCCCCTACTCCTTGGAGCCTCATTCCCCAGGTGTGGCCCACTTGGGTCCCCTTGGGTCTACCACTCTAGCCTGACCTGACCCTGGGCACACCTGTGCCAGTGGCGTGAGCACTACAGGAGAGTGAAGCTCCAGGGAACTGTCTGCACCCTGCTCAGACTGGCAGGCACAGAGGAGGACACTGAGGCCCACTAGTGGGGGTGCCTCTCCAGGTCACAGGAAGAGGATGTGTGAAGGCAAGGGACCTGCAACCAGGGCCTGTCCCCCAGCAGGGACTACAGCAAACTAGGAGAGGCTGCTCCTGGCCTACCGCAGCCTCTGGAGAGGAGCCAACCACCCAGGGTGACTGCATCTGACTTCTCCAGTGTGTCCCCTTTGCCCAAGATGTTGACATCCTGGTAATGCCCATCTCCCACTACCTGCCCTCCCAACACTGGCCAGGGCCTTCGTGAGGAGCAGAAGGGTCAGTTTGCCCCCATCCCCGGTGTAGATTTCCTGGCTCTTGGGTGGGGTGGGTGGTCTTCCCTGGTCAACTCCCCCCAACTCTGGGAATGAACCCCTTCTAGAAATAGTGGCCCTCACAACTTCAATGTCCCTGGTCACCAGGGTGAAAGCCACTTCCTTCAACTAAACCATCACCATGTCGACAAAGTCAGAGACATCAGCCTCCAGGATGCTACCAGACCCCTGAGACCAAAGTCAGAGAGGGCCTCACCTGGGTGGTGCTGTCCCTCAGCGTGGGGGAGCGGCCCCGGCGCGTGGTGGTAGTGGCCATAGTAGTAGTGGTCTCCATGATGGTGGTGGCCATGTCGGCCAGCAGGGTGGTGGCCGTGGTCTCCGCACTGAGCAGCACGGACGGTCCCTCCCCCACCAGGCGCAGATGGCCCTCAGTCCGCACGTTGGGGTCGCTCTCGGCGGCCAGCGCCAGCACCTTGAGCCCATTGTAGTACAGGCCGGACACCTGGCCCTGGAAGGGGCGGCCCTGATCCCGGCCCCCGATCTTGATGGCAGCCTGGCTGTTGAAGATGGTCAGCTGGCGTCCTGGGGTAGGGGGCGATGGGAGAGTGACGGAGAGGGTGACAGACAGGATGGGCAGGCAGTAGGGGGAGGCCAGGAAGGGATGGGAGAATGGAGGGGAGCCAAGGGAAGGCGAGAGGAACCAGGAGGAAACCGCAGGTGGGGTTGGGGAGAAATGAGGAAGGGGCAGACACCAAAGGGAAAGTCCTTGTCAGCCAAAGCCCCTGGCCCAGCCAGGAGGGACCCCAGCAGGGGAGGGTCCCCAGAGCACACATGAGCTGGGAAAGGGAGCCGTCACCCCTCTACCCACCATGCGCATGCCTTCTCCACCTCCACCTGGCCCTCTCGGCTCCCCTTCCAAGGCCATCACCCCACTTCTTCCTGTGCCCTCAATGCGGTCCCCATCTTCTCCCACTGCTTCCCCACACACCCCACCCGTGCCCAGCACTGAGCCATGGAGCCCTCAGAAGTGGCAGATAGCGGAGATCAAGAGGCAGACACAGAGCGGGCGCTGCCTGGCCAGAGGAGGCAGATGAGGGGCGGCCAGTGCGCGGACCTGCCCCGCCAGCTCCCGGCCGGCCCCGCCCACCCGCAGCCCGGCCCCGCCCACCCGCAGCTCCGGCTCCGCCCACCCTCAGCCCCGGCTCCGCCCCTGCCAAGGCCCCGCCACTGCCCGGCACCGGGCGGCCAGCACAGCCTTCCTCCCCGCCTGGGTGTGCAAGCACAGAAATGGAAAACGTTAAAGGGACCTTGCTTCGCTCGCTGACAGCCAAAAACCGCTCCAGCTCCAATCTCGCCCCGCACTCGGCCGTATTACACCTCAGAATTCCCACCTGCGTGGGGTTTGGCTGTTCACTTTGGTTTTAGTGGATCTGGGGGTCGGTTTAACCCTCTGAGTTTGTTTGTTTTGGTTTGGTTTTTAGAAAAGATATTTATTATGTTTAAGTTTAGATTTAACTTTGATTTTGGTGTTGCTTATTTTGGTGGGGAGGGATTAGACAGACGGACTGCTCCGTTGCCCCTTCTCCCCTGGACCTTCAGCTGCTGACTCTGGGGATTTTAAGTCCTGGCTTAGCCCTTGTTAGCCTCTGGTTAGTGCCTCGTTAAAGATCTGGTTTAGAGTTAGGTGCCTGTAAGCCCTGCCCCCAAAGCCTGGGCTGAGGATAGTCCAACTTGTGAAACCCACAGCTCTTTGGAAACACGGGCTCTCTGGGACACCCAAGTCCCTGGAACCCCCAATCATCTGCCTGGCCTCTGGCCAATTATGGGCACTGGTGTGTTTCCTCAGCCTCCATGCTCAGCCTCTCCTCCTCCAGCACCTGCTCACTGCCCACGCAAGCAAGAACAGCCCTAGAGCATCACTGTTTCCTTACAAATAAGGGAGCCAGAACCCACAGACAAAGGGGACTGATGGTAGCAGCTCAGGACAGACCCTGAGAACCACCTTATTCAAGTTTATTCTTAGGCATAAGAATGATAGAAAAACAGCCAGGCAGAGTGGCGCATGCCTTGTAATCCCAGCGGCTTAGGAGGCTGAGACAGGAGAATTGCAAGTTTGAGACCAGCCTCAGAAACTTGGTAAGACCCTGTCTCAAAATTAAAAATAAAAAGGGCTAGGGATGTAGCTCAGTGATAAAGCCTCCGGGTTTCATCTCTAGTACCACCAAAAAAAAAAAAAAAAAAAAAGGAATTATAAGAAAAAGGAGAGGGCCATGATGGTCAAATGAGTTTGAGAAGCAAACTAGTCATTAAACAGGGTCCTTTCTTGCAGGACCTCTCAGAGCCTTTATGAAACTAATGTACATGTGCATCTCTGAGAGGAAGAAACAGGACTTGGCAGTTTCCAAATTTATCTTACCACAGTCCCTTTCTTGTGAAGCATCTCATGGGACTGATTCACAGGACATGTTTTGGAACTAGAAAATTGATTCATTCTATAAATATTTATTGAGCACCTACCATAAGCCAGGCCCTGACAATAAACATCCCCTCAAAGAACTCCTCGCCCTTGCCTCGGATACTTTCCTGAGGCTTCTCATTGCATGGCACACTTGCAATATGCTTGGGAGGTGGGCTGAGCAAGGACCAATGCCCCTTCTTATCAAGGAGAGTGCTAGCTTAGCTGAGGGAAGCACTGGGCCAAGGCCACACCCAAAGTGAGCTCCCTTTTCCACTCCTTGAGAAACTCAATCTCTGACTTTCTAGAACAATAAATGCAGGCCTACAGAAAAGGTCAAGGATAGCTGGACCCCAAATCCTACCCAGCCCCTAGCAGGGCCTATCCAGTTCTCGCTAACCTTTGGGGTCACAAGTTGCCCAGCCTCAGCCCAGGCTGATCCCTTGGCCTCTCTGATTCTGGGAGAAGGAGGTGGGTAACGGAGAGGAAGCCACCTGACTTTAGCAAACTTGGTCCTGTGGCCCCTGCCTCTGCCCCCACCAGCCATGAATGCCTCAAAGGGTTAAAGTTCGCCCCGCTGGAGAGAGCAGCCCAGTGTGGCTGGGGGCTGTAGGTTTTAGCGATGTCTATTACAGTCCCTTTAACTTTTTGTCCTGTTATGGATTTATCACATCTGGTTATCAGCATTTTAGGCCCCTCTGGTGTGGGGGGCTGGAAGTTACATTTGGGGGTTTTATTGGGGAAGGCCCCAGTGGACATTTAAAGCACAGTTATCAGCTGGTTAAGTGGGGGTTTAACAGTTCTGCTTCCCCCTGGAGTTTAGCCTTAGAGGTACAGAGCTCGCCCCTCCTCCACTGGGACTGGGATGACTTTGCCATTGACCCCCAACTTCCCTTGAAGCCTTCTCCCCTTCACCCAGCGGCACCCCCCCTGCCACATGGGGCCTCTCAGGGGGCCCACTCTCAGCCCAGCAGGGAGAAGCCCCTGCAGGCCAAGGCCTCCCTCCCTCCCTCCTTTAGTCTCCCCCAGGTCTCCGCTACTTCTGAGAGGTCCTGTGGGCCAAAGGGGCCCATCCCAGAGAGTGGCCCACAGAAGCTAGCTCGGGGTCTTTCCAGTAGGATCTGAGGCCCCAGGTCTTCCCGTTCGTTCTCCTCAGCTGGCCCCAGTTAGGCCTTCCCAGCCCTCTTCTGGAGCCCTGGATCAGCCTTTCCTTCTCTCCAAAGCCTTCCTGTCTCCAAGTGCCCCGCAGCCCTGCAGAAAAACCTCTGGGACCTGACCTACCAGCCCAGGGAGCTTCTGTTCTCTGGTTTAGAAAGAGAAGGAAGCCTCTCTCTCCCTTAGAAAAACCCTTCACCCCAAACACAAGATGCTGACTACAAGGGGGCCGGAGCGCCCTGGCAGGACAGGACAATCGTCCCTTCACTTGGGCCCGGGCAAGGCAAGGGCGGGGAAGAGAGAGCTCTGCACCTCTAAGATAGTGTTTTAAAGTTAGTTAGTTAATTAATTAATTAATTCTGGTTAATTACCTTTGTCGAGCAGCCACTCATCTACTACTCGACCAAGCCGGTAGGGGATTCTCTGTCTAGCAATCGCCAGGCGCTCGTTATCAAAGTTTCCTTGGAAAAGTTTAGAAAGACAGTAGGTTTCTCAGGCGGCGAAGTCCACAGGAGTTAGAAAAGTAATTATGCATTTCTCAGGAGACCCAGAGTAAGCAGCGACATCCAACAAAAAGAGGGGAGGCAGGAAAAGAAATGTGGGTTCCTCTTCTCCCGGGGGGGCCCCCTCCCTAGGCTCCCATCCAGAGCCAGCCCCACCCTGGGGGCGGGAGCAACCCAAAGAAAAAGAGGGAAGAGAAGAAAAGGCAAGGGATGTACAGAAAAGGCAGCGGAAGGTCAAGTCAGAGATTAAACGGGTTTATCTGGATGAGGCCCTTCTTCTTTCCGCCGTCCCAAAGCGGGCGGCGGGACAGGGGCAGGGCATTTAGTGGGTTTAAATTGGTGGTGGGAGGCCTCGTGGCCCAGGTGGCCCAACTGGCTACTGTGTTTAGAGGGTGGTTTAGAAGTGGGGGGATGGGTTAAGCGGGGTTTATGCGGCATTTAAGGGGTCTCCCGGCACACGCATCCAACCTCGAGATTTAAAGCACTCTCCAAGCCACTGTGACTCCCTTCACCTCTGTGCTCAGTCAGCTGCCCCTCACTTCCCCCTCCGTGCCGCACCCTGGCCCCCACATTAACCCTGCTCCAGCTTGACCCCACCTCTGCTTCTCCTCATGCTAGTCCCAGCTCCCTCAGTACCTGGTGACCTCTATAAGTGACCTCATAGGCCCCAACCTCTTCTCCCACAACTCTCTCACCCTCCCCTGCAGGCATCCAGCCCCCCTGGCTGGCTCCCCCTGGCTCTGAGCAGGCTTCCCGCTCCTTCCTGCCCTTCCCGCCAGCCTCAGCTGCACGCCTCTCCTTCCTCTGCAGGCTCTGCCCGCCCCTCAGCCTTCCTCCTTCAGACTCCTTCTCCCAATTCTAACCCCCTCTCCATCCTTGGCTGCCCATCTGGATACCCACCTGCTCCTCTCTCCACTCCCAATCTGCAGCCCCTGGAGACAGAGCGGGAGGGCGTGCATGAGCCTGTGTGCTCGTGCACACCTAGGTGGAAAGGGGTTGTCAGTGTGCCTCTGGGTATGTACGTGCTGCTCCTGGGCTGTGGGTGATCCCAAGCCACAGCAAGAAGATCAACCGATGGCCTTTGGGAAGCTGGCTACTCCTCCCATGTAAAACACTCCCATGTACTGTGAACACCTGGGCCGGGGTAGGGGCTGCGCTCCCCTCCCCACTCCAAGGCTCTGGCCTGGATCTGTGTGTGCACACCCCCCATGAATGTGGATGTAGCTGGTGCCTCCTTAGGTTCTTATAAGACAACAAGACTCCACCTTTCCTATAAATTAAAAATGGATAATTCGATCATCTGTGTGTATATGTACCTGTGTGTATAAGTGACCTCATAGGCCCCAACCATTCAGTCCTGAAAGGGAGAATGTACATCTGACTTGTTGGAGGGCAGCTGAGTATATAAAAACTCTAACAAAAGCCCTGTTTATCAAGCATCTCTATCGGTTCTAGCACTTTCCTTGGATTTCACATGGAATCCTCACAGCATCACTATGAGACAGGTATCATCCTCGTGGTTTGGAGGTGGAAGCTGAGTCTCAGAGAGGCTAGATGACCCGTCCTAGGGTAAGGGGAGAGCCAATATTAAAATTCAGGTCCTGCTGACTGTGAATCCATGGGCTGTGTCTCTGCTCCCTACGAGTCACGGGTAGGGGTCATTCTCTGGGCCCTGGCACGCTGCTGACCTGGCCTGCTATTGTGTTTCAGGATTCTCCCTCCCAGTGCACACAGGCAGTCACCAGGCCCTCAGGTTATCAGAATTTGCAGGCAAGGGCCCCAGGCAGCCTTTCCCCACCCACAGTCAGAGGTTCCTCAACAGAGCAGACAGCCATAACCTCTTTACCTGGCCTCCCAGGACTGCTGGGCTCCAAAGGGTAATGCTCTGGACAGGAGTCCTGGCCTACCACAGTGAGGCCTTCATGCCCCCAAGTCCAGCTCTGTCCAGCACAGGCCCATGTCATCCTTGTCCTGGTACAGGTGTGTCTGAGATGGAGTGAACTCTGATGGCCCAGAGCAATCATACCACACAGCCCTAGAGCTCAGGGTCTGCTCATGGCAGGGGCTAAGGCTTCCTATAGGAAGGTTGGTGTATCTGAGTGACCTCACACATGCTCAGGGCCTGGGCATAGACTAGCATCCCTCTGCAGAGCTGTTTTCTCATGGGTGTGTCTGACCTTATGAATGTCAGCAGTGGTTTGTATGCCTGGGGTTGGCCTATGTGTACATCAGCCTCTGTATTTATCAGAAGGGGCTCCGTGGACCTCATTATCTCAGGAGCTACCCAAGAACGTGTGGGTGCAAGTCTGCATGACTGGGAGTCGTGGCACTTAGTGGCTCCTTGTTCCGGTCTGGGTGAGCCCAGAGGGTTTGCACCCTGGCCTGCCCATGCCCCCTCCATCAGCATGGAGTAGCCTCTGCCTGGGCCTGGCTGTTGCTCTGAGTGATGGAGGCTGCAGATGTTCACTCTCTCCTCAGATGGGTCCTGTGTGTGATTCTGCAGTGCCAGCCAGCCTGTATCTCAGCATCTCTGTATCCCTGCAGCTCTCCCTGCACTATTACTGTCCCCTTCCTCTTTGTCTCCTGTGCTGGGCTCTCCTGCACTCTGTCCACCTCTTCTCTCCATGGCTGGCTCTGCGGGTCAGTTTCCCCATCTCTCCCTGCTTATCTTCTGGAGTTGCCTCCATCTTTGCCTACGTTTTAGTGACTATTTCCAGGCCTCTCCACTGCTTCTTTTCTGTTTCCTCTCACTCTGGTATCTTACAGGGGCTCCAGTTCCTCCTTTTATGTCTTCATCCCTGTCCTTCCCCTGTGCTCCTCACACCTTGGATTGTCCTTGAACAGCACAGCAGTCACCCTGCTGGACTGGGTCCATCTGCACCTCTGAGGGTCCCTGTGTCCTGATCACCTGTGTTCCTCAGGGCCAAGCACAGACCCTGACATGTAGTCAGTTGTCAATGAAGATTGGTGAATGTATTCGACCCTGTTTTTCACTTCTGTCATTTGTCTCTCCCTCCCTTTTGCCGTGTCCCTCACTCCCTAAGACACTGAGGTTTCTTTTTTCTGGGTCTCCCCAGCTTCTTCCCTTCTTTTCCTTGCTTGGTTCTTTCCTTGGTTGTTTTTGGGAACAACCCTGCTTCCTGCCAAGACACCTTTTATGTTACTTCTGGATCTTGTCTCCTAGGTTTCTGCATCTGCCTCCCCATTTCCGTCTGTCTCTGCTTTCTGTAATCATCCTGTCCTCAAGCGCATCAGATCTCCCAGCGGCTATCTTTCTACCACTTCTCTGCACGCAAACTGGACTCTGGCCTTGCACCCCGCCCTCATACCAGATGCTGTAATCCCACCACTGCGGCCTATCCCAGCCCCCCAAATCCTGATGAGCCTTAGCCACGCCCCCGCCTTGGTCCTGCCCCTGTAAGCCTTGCCTTGGCGGTAGCCACGCCCCGCAGCCAGAAGCCTGCTCCACTTAGTCCCGCCCTGGAACGCACCGCGCTCCTACCTGAGGCCTCGGCCTCCCGCCCCGCCCCACCCCGCCCCACCGCGCCTCCTCCGTGGGCCTGAGCCGCCTACCTGCTGGGTACCGCTCGTTGACCGGCCAGCTGTCCACCTGCAAGGTGGCGTTGCCACCGCTTCGAGTGAAACGCACCACATGGTATTTGCCGTCGCTCACGATGGCATTGGGCTCATCGATGGTAATGTCGTCCGTGCCCACGTTAAAAATCACCCCCACGGTGCCCTGGTCCTGGTAACAGGGAGGTAGAGGTCAGCTACAGACAGAAATCAACTATTCATGCCTCCTAGACATCCATCTGTGGATACCACCAGCTTAACTCCGCAACATTTCACAGCTTCACAATACAACTTGCTCAGGTCTCAACAGTCCAAGGAGGTGGGCAGGCTTGAGCCCTCCACCCCCACTTACAACTAAGGGAGTTACTAGGCTGAAGTTGGGGGCACCACCATGGGGCGCAAAGCCAAGACCTGGAGACCTTTCCACTAATCACCTCGGTCTCTTGCCTTTTGATTCATCCAGAGCATTTGCAAAGAATATTTACAGCACCTATGCTATTCAAGTACCACTGAGGCCAGATTGGGATGATCAGCATGGGGCATCAGCATGCCACTTCTGAGCTTCTCAGGGCCCATGCAGTCAGAATGTGGCTGCAGAGGTAACCTAGACACAGACAGGTCTGCAGAAGAGGAGCAAAGAGGCTGAACAACCCTGCAGAGTTCTGCTGGTGGCTCCAGAATGAGAGAAGGAACTTTGCTGAGACCCCAAAAGTGACAGACCTGTGGGTACTGGGTGCATGTGGTCTGGTCATCCCCACACAATGCTCTGAGGAAGCTCATAGCACCCCATTTTATCCAGGAAGACACTGAGGGCCAGAGAGGTTAAATAACATCTCAAAATCTCATAGTTCGCATGAAGGGACCCCCAGGTTTGGACTCCAGCTGTTCTATCTCCAAAGCCAGTGTTCCTACCACTTGCCCACAATTCTGAGATACTGACTCAAAGGGCCTGGGGTGGGGTGATCTGCTGAGGCCAGCTATCTACCTGCAAGGTCTGGCAAGCCAGTAGAAAGCACACATGGCCCTATGTCTAAGCCCCTATTCCATTCCTCTGTGCCTCCTAGCCACCCTCCTAAATCCAGCCCTGGAGTCAGCCCAGTGCTCCACCCATAGGACTGACACAAGGCTCCCTAGGCCCCCTGGGTCACTCACAGGGTCTCAGCCCAGCATAGAAACACACTATACTTTTGGAGTCTTCCTGAAAGACAGCCAGTCCAACCTGGGCAAAAAGAACTTCCTATATCTAGCAGAGCTGAAAGGCCTGGTGACCTGTGGATGGGGGCAAGGGGGGCTCACAGATGGGGCAGGGGCTCGGGTAGAGAGAGAGTTGAGGGGCAGGATGTGCAGCTGTGGTTTCCTTGGAGACCCATGCGGTATCCTTTCCTTTCCCCACTTACTGGGTGCAGCTCTCCCTCTCCTAGAACCTGGGAAAGTCACACACACAGGCAGGCATATACACGCACACGCCCCCAGTCACACACGCATGCAGCAGCTCTCCTCAAATGCATTAAAACAGGGAAACTGAGGCCAGGCTTGCCTGACAAAGACTATTAGCAAGCCCCACCCATCCGCCACCCACTGACTGACAACATCCCCAGGGAGACGCTCATCATCGGCTCCCCACACACCCGGGAAGGGAGCAGCGGAGCCTCCTCGTTACTATTGTTAGTAATAATATTACCCAGAATAGTAACAGCCCCTTGGATGCCTCTGAGGGTTCCTCCCCACGAGGCTCCGCCCAAGCAGTAATGGTCAAGGGCACGTGCAGTCTGGAAGCCAGCAGCAGAGGGCCAGCCCGGGGAGCTGGAAGGCAGGACGCCTGGGTTCCCTAGGAGGCAGCCAAGCTCTCAGCCGTGTGCTCCGGGGGAGAGGCAGCTCCCCAGAGCCGCTCCCGATGTGAAGTCAGTTGTCACTTCTGTTAAAGTCATTAATTCCTAATTCCCCAATTACCTCATTAGGCGGCGGTGGGGAGAACGCGGCCGCTCCTACAGCAAATAATTATGGGAGTCAAAATTAATTTGGCAAAGTGGAGCGACGCTTTATTAGAAACGTCAAATTGCTTTTCTCTTATTTTGCTGCCGCCTCCCCACTCTCTGAGAGCTGCTAATGACGCTGTGGTGGGAGCTGATGTGTCACCAGGGGAGGAGGGGGCTTAGGGGCTCCCCTCGAGGGGCTCTGGACTATTTGGTGCCCAACAGAGCTGGCCTCTCTGGTGGCCCCTACCCTTTCCAGGCTCCCCGACCCCAGCACGGGGCCTCCCTTCCTCCCAGGCCTCTGCAGCACCCAGACACCAGGCACCAGGCCTTGCTCCTCCTGGGCCCTGCACCAGGTGAGGCATGGGGGAGGGAAAGGGAGGATGTCCCTTCTCCCAGCCTGGACCACTCCCCTCTCCCCTCTGCCCTGGGACCAAGCACGGAGGCACAGAGCACACACAGACTCCATCCAGGTGGCACGTCACACATGACTGGGGTACAGAGGGCTGCGTGCAGGTGGGCGGGGCCATGCATATGCTCTACATGCAGGATGTCGGTGGAGCCGCCTGACATCCCTCTGCCCTCTTACTGTGCTGCACACCTGGGGGAACTGAGGCTTAAGAGTGCGGTGATTTGAACAAGAATAAATCCAGGAAGGGCAGAGCTGGGATTCAAACCCAGGCCATCTGCTCCAAAGCCACGCCTGGCCTCACACATGGACAGAGATAAAGGAACAGCCATCCATGCTCACAGAGGACACGGAACATGGTCACACCCTGCCACACAGGGCGACTGAAACCACAGCACACGCCACTCCTCGGGGAAAGAGAAACGCATAGCTACATCCTCAACCAGAGACTGGCGGCACCCACAGTCACAGCCGTTCTGTCGACACACAACCATCACGTACCCGGCACCACACTGCCGTCCGCAGCTGCACCGTCTCTCACAACAGGCTGCCACTCACTGAGTTAGAGACACTGTCTGTCTCGCTCACTCACAGGCACAGAACTCCCAGGCCTGTCCCAGTGTCCCACTGGCCACTCTTCCCTCTGCACCCTTCCCAACAGGTCTGTGCCTGTCAGCTGCCGCTGCCACCCCAGCCATGCTCTGCCACAGGACTCCTCGGCCTCCTGCCTCCACACCCCAGTCAGGGGAGAGGTGACTTGGGATCTGATGGGCTGTCTGTGACGGGGGCCGCAGTGCCCTCCTCAAGCAGATGAAAAGGGGCAGAGTCCACACAAGCCTTCTCCCCTGGCTTCCTCTGCCCTCCCACTCTGCCCTCCTTAAAGTGAGGGCAGCCTGCCCCACCCTCGCAGCTTAAGGGCCTGGCCAGGGCCAGCCTGTGGGATGCAGAGAGCCAATGAGGTGGCTGAAAGGGGCTACAAATATGGTGTTGGAGGAAAAGTCAGAGGCCCAGTACTAAAGACTGGGGAGGAGGCAGGGAGAGGCTAAGAGCAGAAATGAAACGGAGCAAGGCCAGAGGTTCCAGGCAAGGTGGTGGGGCAAGGTCTGAGATGGGGCGAAGGGCCAGGAAGGACAGGGACCCAGCTGAAGACTGGAGTTAGAGGAGAACCTGGGAGGTGAGGAACAGCTGGTATGGAGGAGGCCCTGAGACGCCTGAGACACGCTGAGAAGGAATGGAGGTCACAGACAGGACAGCGAGGGGTGAGGTCCACGGTGCGGGTGGAGGGACAGAAAAAGGCAGAGCTGGGTGGGACCAGAGGTCAGGGCAGGGATGTAGGGCTGGGCCAAGAGGTCAGTGAAGAGTGAGCTTAGACCGTCAGGAAGGGGCTGCTGGGAGGGCAAAGGTCACAGAAACAGAGGTCAAGGGCTGGCCAGAGGCAGGAGCAAGGTTTGAAGGCAAGGTAAAGAGCGAAGGAGGGAAGTAGCAGGGCAGGGACATCTGAAGGAGGGGCAGAGCATGGTGGGCTGCTCTAGGTGGACTAGGAATGAGCAGGGGCAGTCACAGATGTAGGGACATTCTGCAAGGCTGAGGAGAATGGCCTGGAAGGCCCTTGACTATATATATATATATATATCCTGAAAGGAGAAAGTACACACAGACTCGGGGGTGGGGAGCTGGGCACCTACAAACCAGCTGGGTGGCTCTAGGAGTCCTGGTGAATGACTGAGAGGTGGGCCAGGTCCCAGAAACAGAACTCCTGTGGGAAGCCCCAAGGATGAGGGAATGAGGCTCTGGAGGCTCCCTGTGAAGGGAATACTGGAGGTGCTGACCCACAGCCATGAAGGACATAGTGCGCGTGGAGCAGGGCAGGGTGAGACGGCCGGAGCACTTACAATGTGCAGCTGCAGGTAGTCCCCGAGGCCCGAGGCGCTGTCCACCCGCACCAGCACAGCGCTCCGCTGATGGGTGCTGAAGCCCACGGCCAGGCGGTCCATCCTTGTGCTAGGCCGGTCATTGGGAGGCCAGGTATAGGTGATGAGCGCTCCCCCCTTCCCAAAGATGTATGTGGTCCCGGCTGCAGAGAAAGGGAAAGGGAGAGAGGGAGAAATGGCATCAGGAGGGTGAGCTCAGCAGGTCCCTGGAGTTGTGGCAGGGCATGGAGACACCAGGTCCAAGGTGTGGGGCTTCCATGGTGATGCCCACAGCAGCCACCAGCCCCACAGTCCTAGGGAACAGTTGGCAGGTGGGTGCCAGGGTGAGAACCTGTACCTGCACAGACAGATGTAGCTGCCTCATCAAGAATTCTAGCTTTAATTACAGCAAAACAGAGAGGTAATAGAGTGAGTGACACAGACAGAGAGTACCCAGAGAGAGGCTGCAAGGGGACCAAGATGACAAGAGTACCCTGGCCGGAAACCCAGGGGCTTGATTCTGACCAGCATACTTCTCCCAAAGCTGGCAGAGGTGACAGATTCAAGTATGTGTTTCTTTGGGGCCAGAGCTGAGCAGCACCAAGGCAAAAAGGAGCCCCAGGCGATGGCGGGAAGATGAGCAGGGCTGTGGGCAGCTCTGACTCATGGCCCATCTCTGGCTTACCGCCAACATCTCCCCCCACCAGTCCCCTCCAACCCCCTGGGAATCTTCCTGGTTTGTCCAGGACTCCCTGCCTCCACCCAGGGGTGCCTGGGTCCCAGAGCAGAGTCCTGGAGCCCTGCCCAGAAAGAAAGAGACAGTGGGGAGGGGGACCTGACAGCCAAAGGAGGAAGGAGGCAGAGACAGATGGACAGAGAAGGACAGAGAGGGATGTAGGTGAGAGAAGCAGGAGAGTGGGAGCCCAAGATGTAGGCTCCCTCTCCCCGCCCTCCCCCACCCCACCCTCTCTCCCCTTCTCCCTCTCCTCTTCACCATCCGGCTGCCGGGGGCGGGTGTGAGGTCCCTAACGATCTCAGCCCCAAAATAAACCCCATTAGTCGCCATGTTCCCTCCTGCGGGCTGACTGAGCTCCCTGGGGGTGGGGGTGGGGGGCTGGTCACCCAGTTTCCGGGAAAGGAGTCTTGTCTGGGAGGCCTGGAGGACTAGTACTCTGGGGCCTGCAGAGAAGGGAAGGGAAGAGAACAATCTTGCATTCTTCAGGACATAAATGGAGAAGATGAGATTCATAAAATGCTTAATTAAATAATTAGCCACCAATGATTCCTCTCAAAGCACTTCTTGGGGGGAAAGGGGTTCAAGGAAAAACTTAGCCAGAGAGGAAGAGAGCGGCAGCTGGGGTCTGAGGGCAAGAGCCTGGAGCAGACCCGGAGAGGTGTGTGGCCTTGCCCGTGCCTTACCGGTGGAGAGTTCTGCTCTGGGGTGGGAAGCTCCAGGTTCCTGGGAGGCAAGACATTCTGAAGGGTCTAAGACACTTCCAAGAAGCAAGCAGAAGCCTGCTCAGCCAATATGGCAGCCAAGCTGGTAATATAGGGCCAGGTCCCCTCAAACACCCCAAGGCCTCTCACGTCAGGCACTAAGGAAGCCCCTTGTACTTCAGGCAATCAGGTGAAAGGGGGCTCTATCCCCTGGAGCTCCTAGATCCCATGGGAGAGGGGGCTCTGGTGTGCCTTGGAAGGATGCACTATCCACAAACCCAGGGGGTCGCTGAGGCAATAACGGGGGGCTGCTGCCTGGGTCCCAAAGAGGGAATCGGGGCTGGGGCAGCAGAAACTGTGAGACCCCCTACTGCTTCCCAGAGCACCTACCATAGCTCTCCACCTCCCCAGACAGGGCCAGAGTGAGACAGGACCCCAGGGCTGGGCAGGCATGAAAGAATCACCCGGATGTCTGATAACTGACAGCTCACCGAGTCTATGGCCCAGAAAACACCCAGGCAGACAGAGGGCGCTCACCTGGGCCCCTCCAGACACAGGTGTTCTTTCTACCTGGGGACCCTGGAGGCACAGTGGTAAAGGTTGAACCCTCAGGAGGGGCCCCACGTCTAGGGTGGAAAGCTGGCTGGGGGCGGAGAACACAGTGAGCCCCATCTCCACCCCTGTGCAGGTCACCTGCCTGGAAAGGGCTAGGCCTCAGCCGGTACAGTCTCTCCACTCCCAACACTGCAGCACTCCGGAAAATCGGCTGTTTCCATGGCAACCGTAATACCCAGGGTCCTCCCTCCCCCCTCCACTCACAAGCTGCACGTCGAATTTGGTGGGTGAGGAGGGCCAGGGGAGCTGAGATGCTGACCTTCCTCAGCACATGCGCCCGCCCTGACCAGAGGCTGAAGCCTGTTCACCCCTGGGCTGCAGGGCATTCCGGAGAGGGCAGTTTTATTGGGGTGCTTGGTCCCTTCACACCAGAAAAGGAAACTCCATCTTCCTGTCCCCAAGCCCACCCACTCCCGATCTAGGGGAGAGCGGCAGACCCCTCCTCCAGGCTTTCCCGCTGGATAGCAAACAGCACAGCACCATGGGCAGCACCATGGACAGCGCCATGGCCGGGGCCCCGGCCTCCGAGGAGCCGGCACGCCGGACGCCTCTTTGGGCTTTGAGGCTGGAGGGATCAGAGGCACGTGCCACCGCCCAAGCCCCAGGCCCCACAGCAGGCACCTCCCCTGTGACTCACGCCCAGACCCCACACCCACACACAGGCCGCGACGCACCGGCAGCACACAAAGCCCCAGCGTGGAGAGGCAGACTCCAACCGAGACCGGCAGCCGGAAAGATGGCGGTAGGCGCACAAAGAAGGCCATGGCGGGCGGCGCAAGGGCAGGGGCCGGCCGGGCGCGGGAGAGGCCCGCGGCGCCTGATGCCCGCGTCTCCCGGCCCGGCCTCCCCCGGGATTGATCGCCCAGCTGTTCTCGCGCCGCAGCCAGTTTATTACGCTGGGCGGGCCTGTTAAAGCCTCCGGGCGTTTATTACACTGGGGGGACCAGGGCGGAGGGACACTTCTTGGGCAGAAGAGGTGAAGGATGAATGGTTTATTGGGCTGGGGCGGCAGTAATTACCCTGGGGAGACATTTCTTTCCCCAGCACCGCGGCTCCCGCCCGCGGGCGCAGAAGGCTCGGCAGGGAGGAGGCCCAGCAGAGGAGGCGGGGCCTCCACCGGTCCCGCCCCGGACAGCCGCGCTCGGAAAGCACCTCCCTCCGCTAAAGCCATCGAGCTGTCCCCCTGCCCTGCCCCAGCCCCCCCCCCCACTCCCGCCCCAGCAGGCACGGCTGGCCCTCCAGCAGACATGGAGTCCAGGACATTCTCCCACACCTAGAACTCTGGCAGCCTCCTGAAAGGGTTCCGGAGTGAGAAGGGCCTAGGCTAAGGCCCCCATAGGCCGCCCACGGGTGGTGCAGCCCAATTGTTCTCACCTGCCTAGGAAATCACTAGTGTGTGGAACGGTCAGTTTGAGCCTTCAGACATTTCCGGGAATACTACTCCCCTGAAGCCCAAGACAAGAGAGTCTGGCCAGACACAAGGTCTCAAAGGCGAGGTTGGCACTTTCTGCCCCCACCCAACATAGTCTGCAGAAACTGATTGCTCCAGTAAAACACTAAGGCTGATCAGAATCCAGTAAAACACTAAGCCATCAGAGTCTTCCATACAGTCCACACACACCTGCATTCTAGAAAAAAAGTCCAACTGACCATGAATAATGGTTAGTGAACCCACAACATAATCATTCCATGTAAAACCATCCCATACATTCCTGTCCCCAGGGCTAAAACTACATGTGCAGACCCCCTGTGTGCCTGTGTCCCCACAGCAGTGGATGCCGTGATAGAAGCCTTTTGGAAGATCTAGACTTGTGAGAAGATAAAGTGTCCTGCACAATCCTGAGAAGACCCAGACTAATGTAGGTGCTCACACCCAGTACCAGATCTTTCTGTAAAAACCTCCACAACCCAAAGAGAAGATCTCCACAAGTCCAAATCCCTGAGCTCAGCTTTCTCTTGGTTTAGAATCCCAGAACATATCCCTTCAATCCTTAACCTCATTCTTGGCCATAAACCATGCAGAATGAAATCCAAGCTAATACTCATATCCAGAATCAAAATATATGCTGAACCCCTTTGTAAACTGGAGCAGTAAATCCAGAAGTTCTGGAAACTACAGACTCAAAACTGAGCTGGGATCGAGCCCTCCTTTCCTGGCACATGAGGGCACTAGAAATGAAGCTTGAGGATGGAAGCTCCTCCAGGATTTTGAAACAAGAATTCGGAGGGCATATGCCAGGTACAGTGGTGTACTCCAGCAGCTTGGGAGGTTGAGGCAGGAGGACTGTGAGTTCAAAGCCAGCCTCAGCAACTTAGCGAGGTCCTAAGCAACTCAGTGAGACCCTGTCTCTCAAAAAAATATTTTAAAAGGGCTAGGGATGTGGCTCAGTGGTTGAGTGCCTCTGGATTCAATCCCTGGTAATAAATAAATAAATATAGGGTGGTCAAGGACCAGAAGATTGTCACCTCCTCTTCTCATTTTTAGGACCCGGGTACACTGGTCTTCCCTCATCCCATAGTAACATTGGGTACAGAAGTGTCCATGGCATCTGGCAGGTGGGTAGGGGGTATTATGAAACAGCAGGGGCTGAGGCTTGGAGGAGAAATGGGAGAAAGAGGGAAGAGGAGATGAAGAAGGTGGGTCGAAGCCCAGTAGCACTCTCTGCAGGGAAATGGAGGCGCAGATGAGGAAAGAAGGGGCACCCCCACACAGGGGGTCTCCAGGAGCCTCTGGGCAGGAGGAAGGCTGAGCAGAAGTGGGATTTAGCCACAACAGGTGGCCTCCTTCCTTCCCTTGGACCTTTCTTGTGACCCTCCTTCTTGGCCACCCCACCGACACAGCTGCCCAGTTCTCCCTCCAGCACTTTCCATGACTATCCCACTGTGCCCTCCTGCTCTTCCTTTACTTCCGCATGGCCCTGGGCAGTCACTGGCCCTTTCCTTCCTCTAGCCATCTCTGACACAATCTCAGTGCCAACATTCCATAGGGTCACACACACAGAGCTGTGCCTGTGTCCATGCAACATCAGAAGCCAGGACAAAAAAAAAAAAAAAAAAAAAAAAAGCCTTCTAGATTGTGAGAGGATAAAACATCATGCACAACCGAGGGAAGCCATGGCCCAAGCTCTTACGCTCTCTCCCTCTGCCCCACTCTTGCTCCTTGACTGAGCCTTGGGCACTCCAGCTCCTGGGCCCTCCGGTCAGCCCATCACCCAGGGCCAACACCTTTCTCTCCTCTGCCTTCCTCTTTCACCCCCTCTCCTCTTCATTCAGCAAAGTCCTTCCCCAGTGGACCTGGCTCCCTTCCTATCTTCCCCTTTATGCCTCACCTCCAGGCCCGAAAGACCAAAGCAACACCAGCACCTGGCCTCAGAGGAGCAGAAGACAATGAAGAAGGGCAGGGTGTGGGGAAGGCCAGGGAGGGAGAGGGACTTAACATCAGGAGCAAGGTGCATGGTGGGGACATGGAAGAAGAAACTGGGGAGCACTGCAAGGAGGAGCCCCCCCCCCGCCGAGCACAGAGATTAGATAAGGGACAGCACCTTGGAGAAGAGAGAAGGAGAGGGGTCCTCAGGAGCTGCTCTTGGGGAACTGGATGGAACAACAGTAGACAGAGCTACAGATGAAGAAGGAGAAGGGAAGGACCAGAAAGGGGCAGAAAGCCTGGAGACAGCAGGGCAGGAAGGACGGCAACTGGAGGACGACAAGAGGAGGCAGAGGTGAGCAGGGAACAGGGAGGCAGGGGGCACAGATGGGAAGTGATGGGGGGGTAGAAGCCCAGGAAGGAACAAAAGTGAGAGAACTGATGAGGGTCCAGGCCGGCAAGGAAGGGAAGCACAGAAATGGGAGGCCACCCTGCCACAGTGAAGACTGCTGAAGGCCATGGTGGCCAAAGGTGGTTGGAGAATGGAGGTGTCAAAGTACCCAATTGGGAGGTGATGGGGACACAGAAGCAGAAGGTGAGAGTAAGGGGAAGTGATAGGCATTCAGGAAGAGGTGATGAGCATACAGGGATGGAATGGGACAGAGGCACAGAAAGGGGAAATGATGGAGGAATGAAGGTGGAAGAAAAGGTGAAAGGTGATGAGGGATGTGACCCGGAGGTGAGAGGTAGAGATGGAGGTGATGAGGGTACCCCATGGAGGGACAAAGTTCAGAAGTGGGAGGTGAGGTAGAGTACAGAGAAGGGAAGTGATAAAGGAGATAGCAGGTGACAGGGACCGAGATGGGGAGAGGTGGCATACAGAGAATCTTTGGGGCCTAAGATGTGAAGGGCCCGAGATGGACGGGAGGAAGGGTGGAAAGGAGAAGTGGGTAGGGCAGGAGCAGAGGGGATGGGACCTGAGAAGGAAGGGAAGGGCTTGGAGATGGAAGGTTGCAAGGGGCTGGGAGAAGCTGTGGTAAGTGGACAGTGACAGAGGGGTGACAGGAGAGGGGAGGGGGGTCTGGGAACACAGAAGTGCTAGGGCTGCAGAGGGAGAGACGCTGGGGGTCAGAGGTGGAAGCAGGCACTGAGATGAGGAAGCCGGGAGTAGACACCTGAGATGAAGGGGACAGGGATGGGCGGACATGGGACAGTGTTGGGGTTGCCTGCCCCAGAGGCAATGGAAGGCGGGTAATGGGAAAAGAAGGGAAGGTTGCCGAAGGGACAGAGGGGGACAGAGACAGATATGAAAGACAAGGGCAGAAGCAATGGGACATGTCAGAGGCAAAGACGACAGATGGGACAGAGGCAGGTGGGAGGGGGAAGCGACAGACCAGCAATGGGAAGGTGAAAGTGAGGCAGAGGTGGAGGTAAGACAGATGGAGAGGTGATAGGGGCAGGATGGAGGTGATGAAGAGGGAGATGGAAAGGATGGAGGAACGGGCGTGGAGGCGGTGGGGGACACGGTGGAGACGGCCAACGTGGGGACAGGCGGTGCAGGTGAGGTGCGGAACCAAGTACTGAAGGGAACCGAGGGGCAGTGGAGGGCTGGAGGGGAG